AGTTTTAAAATTTTCTAGCAGCCACATTAAAAGTGCAAAAAAAGTGAAATTAACTTTAATGATGTGACTCTTGATTTAACTCAGTCTATCCAAAATATTATCATTTCAACATGTAATCAATATAAAGTTATTAATGAGATATTTGACAGTTTTGGGTACTGACTCTTCAAAATCTGGTGTATAGTTTACACTTACTACACACCTCCAATCAGACTAGCCACACTTCAAGTGCTCGAGAACCACATGTGGGTTGGCTGTTGCGTTGGACAGCAGGGCATCCCTCTGCCGCTTCACAGTATTGAGAAGGTCCACCTACAGCGTATGTGTATTTTCGTTGTTACAAGAGAAAATGGAAACCAAACGCTACATGTTACTTGAGTACTGCGGTGTTTCCCCAAGTGTAGGACACTAGGATCAAGAGCGGCCCTGTGGAAAAATAGATTCGGTGATGAAATAAGTTAGGAAGGTTCTATTCTAGTACCCCCTTTTGGAGATTTACATGGTGCGCTAACATAGCACAGACTCTGAGAAAACTCTCTTGGGTAAAGGAGCCTATTGGAAGTTGGCTTCTGTGTCTGTAAGGTTCCACCTCCTGAGTGTGACTGTTACCCAGCTACCACTATAACAACATGGTTAGTCTGGCATGGTACATTTATGGTATGCTTATAATATTTTTTTTCCTCCCGAGGTGTTCTAACACCCCTTGCCTCCCCCGCGCTTACCCTGCCAGGCCCATGAAAGATACCAGAACAATGGTTCTGTCCCTGAGTATTTATCCCTATTAATTATCTTGCCCTCACAAAAACCTGAGGTCATTCTTTACTACACTTTTGGGAACAAGAATTCTGGAAATTGCCACAAGTGTCTCTGCGTAAGGAAAACTGTGTCTTCCCTTCCTCCAGCCTTTTCAGAGCCTATCTCTACTTATTCTTTGTATTCAGAATCACCCGAGAGCCAAGATATGTCTTCTTGATCTAGAACCACCTACTAAATTGAAACCGGCAGATGGCTGTAATGTCTTGTATGTGGACACAGATTTTCAGAAAGTACCCAAATACACACCTTCCTCTCATTCTTTCAGAAATGATGAGCACTCTACAAAGATGAGGGGAGAAACATCTGAATGTGTATCTGTGTAAACACGGAATAGTTTCATAAGTAGAGTAATACCGTTCCTACTAATGCTTTTTTAAAAAATATTTTGTGTGTGGTGTTAATTTACATGCTTTAATGTGTACTGTTATTGTAAAGTGTGTAAAGTAGTTGTGATAGCAATCAGTCTGAAGAAGATATACACTATACTTGACAACTGTCAATCTTTAGCAAATGATCTCTTTGCCTTTGTTTTAGTGGGACCTCTGACGCTGCCCCCGTAAGTTTTGTTTTACGATCTGTACTTAAGTGGCAATTACCAGTTAAATAACTTCTATCGCTGAATTTGGTCCAAGTTGATTGTAGTAATGCTTATATGTGGATGTATTTAAATAAGATTGATTTAAATGATCTGTTTTGTCTCTGTTTTTTAGCACTTTAGTATTTCAATATTAGAGATGTCTTCTGAAGACTCTAGTAGCAGTAGAATCCCTTCGCTCTTGAAAACGCAAATTATACCATGAGTTTCATATAGGCTTTCCAGAAGTAGGAGTGGAACATTCTAAGTGCAAAAGTTTGGCTTTAGAATCTGTCTGATTAGGAGGGGCAGCCCATTCCCTAGAAAGGTAACAGCCTTCCCAACTTTGAACGTCTCGGGGAGCTCTACTTGGAAAAGAAGTCTGAATTTTAATCTCATGGATTTAATGGCGCTAAATTAACACAAATTTTTTAAATGGATTTTGTAGAATCCAACTATTAGGGGAAATCATTTAGCTAAGCCATATACTGGGGAATAGCCAAACACCACGTGCTAGTTTTGGAATGTGCATTTCCCAAGTGAATAGAATTTACTTCACCAAAAAGATTTTTTTGCATAATTCACAATACTTACAGAAATATGATTGTATCACTGGAGAAAAAAAAAAGCTCACCTCTCTAATGATACATTTCACATTCACTAGCAAACTAGTGTAATTCCTTAATTATTTGGGGGGATGCAAAAAAATAATCTGTCCATAGAATATAACTGCTTATTCCTAACTGTATTTAGAAATGAATATATACTATTATTTAAAGTACTATTGAATTTTGAAGAACTGCTCAATAAATTCGTATTATTAATAAAATTGTACTCTTTACATTTGCCTCAGCACAAATGCAGTTAAAAACATAAATTTATTTTAAAATACACCAAATAATACAGATTAGTTATCATGACTTTAAAATTCTAATTTCCAATAGCATTAAATCCCACACCAGTTATGTGTTGTATATAACTAAAATGTTGAAAGTCTTGCACACAAAATGAGAGGCTTCTTCAAAAATGCCTTTTTTGCCAAAAACAGGTTCTACAACCTATCGCTAGTTATTTCTTTAGGGGTACTTTGAAGTGCTTTCAAAGACGTATCTGTAGCAGTTAGATCTAAATTTAGAGCAGAACATTCTGTCAGATACTTTGCCATATCACAAAATGTTGTAGTACTGTATTTTATAATAAAACCAAATTCTCAAGTATTCTGATATATTACATATTATTATACCAAAAAACCACTTTCTAGCTGTCTGTTATTGTGTATATAATATTTTAAGAAAATAATGTGTATTTCAGTCCAAGCAAGAAAGTATAATGCGATACGTGACATTCAGTTGATCTTTAGTCAAAATCCATTTAGGTATTTGACAGGGAAACTAGCAATCATAAGCTTGAATGTATACATTATTCTCAAGAACAAAATGGCAAACGAGAATACATAAAGACATAGTCACTGGGGCAAGTTAGCTGGTGTGCAGATTGAAAAGGATCAACTTGCCAGTGCTCGTCAGAGTTTTTGTTATTGATTGTTCCTGGAAGGGGAAGTGCTACAGTCAGTTGATGTTGCCTCCCCTTAGGTAGGGGACTTGCTCACAGTGCATGGTATAGTGAAATCTCTTTGGAAGCAGGGTTGAGTCAGAAGCTTAGAGATGCACCTCACTGTCTTTAAAACTGCTGTTACAATGTTCTGAACACTGTGATCTTTCCAAATGTGTTTTCTATATTTGTTTTGTACTGTAGAAAATAATACGCCAGAAACTGGACTCTGTAGTGTTTCAAGCAACGTTATTTATTGGCTTATTGCCCCCCACATATTTATGTAGTTTACTTAATAATATAAAACCTGTGATAATCCTTTGCCTTAAAAATAAAATCTAATGCTAAATATTGAGTGTGTTCTAATAATTTTAAGCTACAAATTAATTTTTCCTTTAACACTTAAGACAGTGTCAAATAAAATATTACACGAATACTCTGTGGAGTGTCGCTGCCTATTCTGTTCTTGTGACAGTGTGTGTATCTTGATCCAGGACATGATGACCTGCTGGGTTCTATAAATAGATATTAGTAATCCTTTTAGAGAATGGGCCTGGCACTTAGCTGTGAGCTAAATACCTCCCCTTAACTCTTATAAATAGATTTTCCCATGCCACAGAAGAATGAAGAAAAACAGCCCTTCATGTGCTCTCTCTCTGCAATTTTTGTCTTGATTCCTACTGAATCTTCACATTTTATTTGTGTTGCCATCATATTCCTAAATAGAAAAATGCCAGAGATGCCTGAAGATGGAGGAAATCACCTAATTTCAGCCGGGAAAGGTATCTTGCAATTATTCAAGTCTAGTTTCTTATGGAACAGTTAGAACCCGAGTTGTAGAGAGGTTTAGTGACTGCTCAAGCTCTGAGCGACAACGGTGGGCTGACCCCATCCTGATGTCCAGAAGATTGTCACAGTTCCAAAAAGTGAAAAGGAACTGTGTTAGTCTTGGGGCTCGCACACAGCAGCAAGTAGAGGGAGATATGGCATGGGCTAGAAAACCGTTTCCTTATTAGGTCCTGGTCTTCGCCTGGCTGATTTAATCAGTTACAGGGGAATATATATCTATATATATTTTTTAACTTATTTATTTTTATTTTTGGCTGTGTTGGGTCTTCGTTTCTGTGCGAGGGCTTTCTCTAGTTGCGGTGAGCGGGGACTACTCTTCATCGCGGTGCGCGGGCCGCTCTCTATCGCGGCCTCTCTTGTTGCAGAGCACAGGCTCCAGACGCGCAGGCTCAGTAGTTGTGGCTCACGGGCTTAGTTGCTCTGCAGCATGTGGGATCTTCCCAGACCAGGGCTCGAACCCGTGT